AATAAATACTTTTATATTCTTACATATATTTATCATTATATATCCCTATACAAATGAAGTATTTTATTCCGTTTCTTTCTGCACCTGCTATGAAACACTGTCATATATTGGTCCGTACTTGTAATCCATCGATCTTCATTGCTGAATGCTACTCAGCCATAGAAATGTAACAATTTATTCAACCAGTCTTCTGGGACCTTGGCTGTCTCTAGCTTCTGAGCACAAAAGAATACTATGATAAGCCTCTTTTACCTCCTCAACTTCACAGAGCTTTAAAATTTTATTTTTATTAAATAAAACAGCACTTGGGGGTGTAGTTCAGTGGTAAAGCATGTGCATAATACGTGCAAGGTTTTGGGTTAATTCCTACCACCAAAAATAATAATAAGCGCAATAATAATAAACTGAATATATAAGAATATAAAGTAAATATTTACAAATAAAATAGCAATACAATGATCACTTATCTAATGGGATCGTGGCAGTTAGTGGGAAATAGAGTGTTTAAGTATTTAAGTATTTATGTGTTCCTCTCTAATCCATCCCTATTCCCTTATCATTCCCTTTATTTTATTTCAATTTTACTATATGTACATATATGCCTAAACATATGCAATACATAATTTTACGTGTTTTGAACTTTTATAATTAGAGTATTTCTGTAGCCATCTTTCTGTCACTTTTTTTCAACATCCGTCATGCTTCTGAGATTGAACCATGTTCTTATAAATAATTATGGCATGTTCACAGGTGTATTTAATTACATAGACAATTAATTATTAATCCATTCCATTGCTGACAAATAGCTTTTGCTATTACAAGGGATGATAATAATCAGTATGAACACCTTTGAGAACTTTTCTATGACAGATAGATAGATAGATAGATAGATAGATAGATAGATATAGAGATATAAAGATATATTTCAGTACTAGGGATTGAAATCTATGCTAAATATTGATTGAAGAGTGAAGCAGCTGGGTCAAAAGGCATATACATTTTCAACCTACCAGATAATGCCAAATTGTCTTCCCAAAATGGCTATGAAATAATTACGTTCCCTTCAGTGATATTCAAAAGTGGCTTTACATCGTACCTAATTCTTATTTCACATCTTAAAATACCATATTGGTGAGATTAAAAGATGCCACTGTGATTTTAATTGGTTCACTGATTACAAACAACGTTGAGCATATTTTCACGTGTTTATTTACCATGCGTATCTTCAGGGTAGATCCCATTCAAACTAGTTTCCCAGTCTTTTCCTTAGGGCTGACAGTCTTCTGTAGTTTGGATATTAACTCTTTGTACCATAATTGAAGAAAACTCTCCAGTTTATGTCTCATCTTGTCACTCCCATGGCATCTCTTGATGAACAGAATTTCTTAATTTTAATGTAGTTAACGTTTAATGACATTTTCCTTTATTCCCTGTGCTTTCTTTGTCTTCAGAAACCTTTTCCTTCCTCTATATGAAACAAACCTTCTCTTATGTTCCAGAAGCTTTAAAGTATCAAATCTTCATGACACTCTTTGGCATGTCACATGAGATAGGGTTCAAGTTCATTTTTCTTTGTGAATCATCAGAGGCATCCACATCATTTTTTAAAAGACCATACATTCCCAAACCACCTTCAGTGCAGCATGACACACTTGAGAATCAATCTGTCACCCCCGCCGCTACAAATAAAATAAAATAAAATAAAGAACTATAACAACAGAACCCTATTTTGTTGGCATTATGTTATTAAATAAAGTATACTAGTTTGAAAAATAAAAACATCATAATTTCACATCTATGTCCTTACTTGGGTCTCTTAAGTCTGTCAATAATTTTTATTACTTAGATGTATAAGTTTGGTGCCTATTTTCTTAAATTTATTCATAGGCACTTGATATTTTTATAGTATTAAAAATAATGCTTGGTTTTCATTGTATATTCTAACCATCTCTGCTGACATATACTGCAGAAATTCATTTTTTAAACCTCAATTTTTTTAAAATTCATTGACCTTTAAGGTAAAATTCTGATAAAAAGTCTCTATTCTAATTTATAGATAGGATCTACAGCTACATTTGTGTAAAACATCACACACAAATGAGAATTCCCTAGCACCCTCCTCCCTGATCCTTATAAATTGTGTATAATTTTATCCTCTGATGTTTTCTAATTTGACTCACTAAAATTTTTGTGAGTAATATTCAGCTGTTTGTTCTTTCTGTTGGGTAATACCCATGGTGCTTTCTAACTGTGGAATTATGTTTTTATGAGAATTCTCTGAAGCCTACACTGAAGAGAGTTCCGTTGAAGAAGATTTTTGATTGTTCCTGCCACATGCCCCTGGGTACTGCTGAAGGAAGGCAGTGCTTCTCAGCTTGAAGCTTTTCCAGGCCACCCAGGTAGCAAGTTTCAGGCAGCATAAGGCACTGAAGGACTGGCTTGTACTTATGAACGTTCAGGTATGATTTTTCTTCACCTTCACTGAGTGTCAAATTTGAAGATTTCTTTGCTGCCTGCTATTGGAGCAATTTTATCCCTAGCATTCACACTTCAGCATTTTAGGCTGGCTTTTAGTCTACTTTCTCTTGGCTGATCTAGAACTTTGTGACCACTTATCCCTCTTTCTGAAGCCTGGAAAAACTCAAATTCAGCATCCCCTGGACCTATCAGAAGTCCTCACTGCAAAATCCAACAGCAGTGCCCTGACTTGCTTTGGTTATTTTATTTTGGCCTTGCTTTCAGTTCCTTGAGCCATTTAGAAAGCTAGATCTATGGCTTATTCATAATTTTAAGTTCTTTTCAATGAGAGAGTTGGTAAAAGTATCAACTTTGCCAGTGGTTGTCCATCCACTACACTGCAGATATACACTCCCAAATCATATCCTAGAAATTTTCATTTCTGTGTGTCATGGTTTGGTTTTTTTTTAAGGTTAATAATATAATACAGGACACATTTTATAATGAATCACCCAAATAATTATATACAACAGGTGTAGGAACCCATTCATACACTAAACACCAAAGAATCTGGCTGGAGGCCTAGAGCCCAAAACGAATTCTCCTGTAGGTCTGCTTTATGGCTCTGTCCTAGAAAGTCCCAAAGATCAGTGGTGGAAGCTGAAAACTCTACGCCAGCAGGATGAAGGACCTGTGCTAGCAGCTCGAGCTGAGGGATCCGAGCTCGAGCTAGGAAGCAATGCTCAAGGTAAGCACCAGAGCTCCCCCAAAAGTACCACAGCCATCGTCAGCAGCAGGGCGGTCCCCAGCTCCTCTAGTGATGAGGAAAGCTGAGTTCCCACCAGGAAAGCCAGTGTGGCAAGCTTCAATGCACATTGTCCCCTTCAGAGCCAGGAAGCGATGCGAAAATGAGGACCAGAGCTCCTCCAAAGTTCATGGGGAAAGCCAGCATGACAAGGTCCCCCAGCAGAACAGCCCAAGAGAACTAGCAGCTTCCAACAGCTCCAACAGCTTCTCCAAACAGCATCCCTAACCGCGTTTGGGCAGCTTCTCCTGTTCTGCCTTTATGCTCCTGGCAGCAACCCTCAGGTGGGCCTCCTGCACCCAGCACCATGCCAGTCCAATTCAGCTGGGTGTAAGAAGTTGACCACCAGTTAGAAATCCACAACACCGTGTGTGTTTGCCTCTGAAATCTCAATGTAAATTATCTCCTGTTCGGCCATTCTTCCGGTCTGGAGTGCATCTAATTTATTGGCCTAACAACTCTTCAAGTTGAGACGACATGGCCGTCTTTGAGACAGCCAATCCAGTCACTCCTTTCCCCTACCGTTCACTGTCTTTCCCCTTCTAATATGTAATCTGGCAACAGTGATTAATTAAACCCAAACCTATCAGTCTTCTCGACCTCATCCCAGTGGGGAGCAACAACTTTACTGACTGCTGTCCAATTTTATGAGCTCAGCGCTCAGCATCCTACCATATTTCTCTAGTCTCTTTACTCTACCATGCTTCAGAAACACTGACTCACAACTTCTTCCTGTAGATCTCCAGCTTTCCCTCACCCTCTCCTTTCTCAGTTGACTTCTTTCTTTCTTATTTCATTCAGATAATAGAACCCAGTGCTGAAGAGCTCCCCTACCCACACATCCGCCCACTCACCACATGCACACAAAATTCCCAGAATTTGGCATCTATTCCCAGCTTTTCCTCTTGTGATTTGGTTGAACTGCCTGCTGGTGTGCAGCTCCAACCCCCTTGTTGCTCTCCATCCCTCACTAGAAATGATTTTCTGTCATTCGGCTGCTCTTCCTGCTCTGAGAATGTGCCTGTGGTCAGGTTTGGTGGGTTTAAAAAAAAAAAAGAAAGAAAGAAAAGGAGATTTCTGTTTCTAGGAAGATGAAGTAAATATGCCTTTCCCTCTTCTTCCAGCTTAGTGAAGTGAGACATTGTATACGTTATGGTGTGTCTCTAGGTGTCCCCACAAAGGCTCATGCAGTTATGGGGCGCGGACTTCTAGAGTTTGTCATTATCTTTTGATCCACTGGGATTATGGGTGATCCAAGGCTGGGATTATGGGTGTGAGTGCTACACCCAGCCTGAGGCAGACAGCCTGAATGTAACATAAGACAGACTGAGAGACAGACTCCCTCTCTGTAGCCGTTGTTGCTGCTACTCCTCCATTTTGCCCTTGCTCTTTGCCGCCACCATGAACCGATGCCCTGTGTCTTGGGTCAGCTGACTATGAACTGAAACCTCCAGTAACTGTGAGCTGAATAAACCTTTCCTTCCTTCGTTTTCAGTGTGCAGTATTTGTCTCAGCAATGAGAAAAGAGTAACTGAGAAGAATATAAGACCACAGCTACCTGAAGAGAAGCAGGCAGGCCAGCTACGGAACTCAGCAATGGAGGAAGAGCCCAGTGATCAGTTCATGACAATGACTCATTTTGGTTGCCAACTTGATGGACTGAGAGATCAATCAAGCACACTTCCGAGTGCATCTGGGAGGGTGTTTCTAGAGGTCCATGACATGCGGGGCAGCGCACTGAGGAAGGGAGACTTGCCTGAGTGTGGGCGACACTGTCAGGGGAAGGAGAAAGCCATGCAGCACTGGCAGGCTCCACGCTGCGGGGCCAGGTCCATTGATCTGCTGCTGCTGTCACCCCAGGTCACCAGACTCCAACTTCTTCAGCTTTTCAATGTGGACTTGCACCAGCAATTCTCTAGGGAGCTTCCAGGCCTTCAAGTGCAGCCTGGATCTACATCCCTCGTCCCTTGTGTGCTGAGGCTCTCAGCATCTTGGACTGAGCATCTACTGGATTCTGTGGTCTCCCATGTACAGACAGTCACTAAGGGATACTGCAGCCGCTGATACTGTAATCCAACCCTATCTTATATATATCCTATTGGTTCTGTTTCTCCAAAGCAGCAATGGTGGCCCTTTTAGAACTTTCAGTGATAACAAAGCTTCTGCTGCAGCACATGTGCCGTAGAGTTGCCACCACCGCTCTAGCGAAACCTATTCGAATATAGTTAGTTCTCTTTTCTTTTCATTCGTTTGCCTCCTGTATCCCAGATGCTGAGTGGAATAAGCTGGCAACCACAAACTCCAACAGGTAAAGACCAAAAAAGTCTTCAGAAAAAGCCTTCTCTGTGTGGCCAAAGAACAGGGGAAGGGGCAGGGCAGCAAAATAGAAGACTTTTACACAATAACCCCTGCATTCTAGCCACTACCAGAGAAAAAGATGGTGGCCTTGAGGAGGCTAGACTCCAGCTCCCCGCTGGGCTACACACTTCGGGTGTTGGAAACACCTCTGGGGAGGGGCCAGGATTTTCATCCCTCTTGTTGGTCTGTAATGACATCAGCTATCATCACTATTGTAACCACAGCGCTTGGAACACTTTTTGGCCTATGATAGCGGCTATTTGCATGTTCTTGCTCAAATCACTCATCCCTTCTGTGCCTCAATCTTGTTCTCAGTTAAATGAGAATGAATGTAGCATTCCAGGTTGCTGTGAGAACAGGTTAATGTATGGAAAGCCCCAGGCCAGTGTCTGACATGGCAGCCGTTGTTGTTGCTGCTACTGTTGTCATTTGCTCCCCCTTGACTTGTACGCTTCTTAGAAATAGCTGTAGGCATGGCCCATGACTTTTAGATTTGTGGTGTTTGCACTCTTCTTATTTTCTATATATTCTTTAATTGCAATCATGTTGCTCCCTTTATACCCAAGAGCTATGTGGAGGATTAATTTTAAACTTCCAAGTGGGTGGGAAATTTTCGTTTAGATGTTTGTTTCTAATTCATAGTTTTATTATTCTGTGGTCAGAGAGTATGTCTGTGTACTTTGAGCTTTAGGAGATTTACTGCTGTTTTTTTTTATAGTCTGGTACATGATCTATTTTTAAAAACTTTCTTCAATTAAAGTAATTTCTCCCTTTTCCCTCATTGGGAAGACTTTTATGCTAGGGATATATTCTATAAACATATTTCCCAACACACTAAACCAGACAGTTAATGAAATGAAAGCTTCAATCATGTTGAGTTAACAATGCTTTATTCTTGTTCAATTTTCAGTAAGTACCAATTGCAAAGCTCCCCAGAGAGAAAGGAGCGGAATCAGGCACACTCATCCTTCAGGTGTGATTTTCTAGTTCTTCATCTGGCGCTTCTTTTCTGCCTCTAGTTTTCTTCTTGTGAAAGAATGCCTTTAATTCTAATTGTATGAGATATAATTTCCAAAAGTGGCCACAGCATTAATTCTGGTCCCACATACTGTTCCAGGATCTTGCCTGCTGAGCAAGAAACAAAAGTCGGTTGCCTTTCCTTTGAAGTGGAGTAGGTCTTAAAGACTGCATCCACGAAAGTGGGTAGGGTAGAAGTCGTGTACTGCTTTTGTGGTGGGTCATCAAGGGCAACATCACCTCTGCCTGGCTCTGCCTTCTGATGCTTGCCTTGGAACTCAGTTACCACACTGTTAAAGAGCTCAGAGGCTACTCTTAGGTATTCTAGTCTCCGGCCCCAGTTGAAGTTCCAGATATAAACACCATCACTTGACCGACATCTGAATGAATCTTCAGATGATCCCAGCCTCATGCTGGGGGTAAAGACCAGAGCCAACTGATTTCTAAAGGGCCCTGTGTGATGCAGACACTCAGTGAGCATAATAAATGGTTGTTATTACTCATCCACAGTAACAGATTGTGAAGAATGCAGCAATCTCAACTTGTCAGAAAATTCCATGTAGAGGAAAGGTGTTATTATGAGAAAAACATCATACTAAGTTCTGAAAGATTTGGATAGGAAACTACATTGACTTATATCTGGCCTTGATCCTTAAACAAGACAAGTAGCCTCTCCGGGTCTTAATACACACTGTGGACACCTTTGGACACCTTCCACTGGTAATATCTTCATATAAAATACTTAATATTTAAAGTTTTCTTATTGGGAAATGGTCCATATGTAT